TGTTCAAGAACCCTGGAACGCCAAAGTGGGATCAGGAGGCCGGTGTGGAGGGAGGAGGAGAAAGAAGTGTCGCAGCTCGTGAAGTAGAGCGAGAACGGGACTGTGAGGCTGAGGCTGGTGCTCAGCAGACTAATGGTCATCCAGGTACCGAGGTGGAAACTGAAGAGGAAGTAGAAGGCGACGAGGAATTCGAAGGACCCAATGCACCTTTGCTCTCAGCACCCGAGGGCTCGATAGATGCCAGGGGTATGCTGGCCATGCGTCTCATGCCCGGTGTACCTCGCCTACCTTCCCGCACTGGCCTGGTGCAACTCGAAGAGACACTGCAGAGAGCGCGAGTGAGCGGACAGAAGAAGACCACAGCACGGCTGGGTAACCTGCAGGTCAAGAGCAGCACAGGTCAACAACGATGGTGTGCCAAGTGCAATGCGCCCAAACCTGACAGAGCTCATCATTGCTCCACTTGCGGCGTGTGCATATTGAGGATGGATCATCATTGTCCCTGGTTAGCTTCGCGCTGCGTAGGTCTACGCAACCACAAGGCCTTTTTCCTCTTTCTTTTCTACACCTGTCTGCTTTGCCTATGGACGAGTCAGGCAACAGCACGAGCTCTGTTGGACTACGTCTCCAGCGAAAAGGATGGATTTGAAAACTCTCCCTTGAGCTGGGCCATACTCTTCTTTATTGCATTTGTGTTTGGTATCGCCTTGATCCCATTTGCGGGCTATCATGCCTGGCTCATCTGCAGAAACAAGACCACGCTAGAGTCGATGGAAGGAAGCGGAAGGGTGCGACTGCAAGCGCAGCGTGCGCCAGGCAGGGAGAGCGTCACGGAGAGGCTCAGAAGGCTAGCTGCTGAGGATGAAGGTGAAAGGCCGGAGGAACACTCGACCGGCCAGACCTCATCCGACCAGTCGGGACAGGAGAGGAACAATGAGGAGTTGACAAGAGAAGAGAGGAAGGCGCTGAAACGAGCGGGCAAGCTCAACATCTACGACTTGGGCGCCTCGGAGAATTGGAAATTCATGATGGGTCGGCGATGGTTCATGTGGTTCGTGCCTACCGGAGAACCGTGAGTTAAGGCCCTCTACGAGACGCAATACAGCTCGTTTGCGGTCCAATGACGTTTGCTTGCCACATGTTGACATGCTGTTCCTTTACGATGAATGCCCCCAGAGACTCGGACGGGCACGCATATGCGGTCAACGATATCACGCTCGCTGAATTGAGGAGGATCACTTCTTCGATCCGGCAAAGAGGAGCATCAACGCCCGCCAAGGCTTCCTCAAGCTTGTTTCACATTTCCTCTATCCGAGGCAAGGCACGAGAAGCGCCTCTTCATTCTTCCCGCAACAACGTTCAAAGCACTTCCCTCTCGAACTCGCCTGGTCCCGCTGTTACGCGTCAGACACCACGCGGTCCTGCGAGGAGCGCTCATGGCGTCGTAGAGTGGGGCGCTCCACCCAGAAAAGATTTCGTGCTT